TCAGAGCTGAGGGGATACGAGGCGGAAACACTTAGGTAAGAGGAGAGACAAATTAATTATCTTGTCAAACCTTCTTCTCAGCGAGCGCACGTGCAGCAGACCCTTGCATAATGAGGCATCGCTTCCCCACGATGCTGCGCACCCACATTTTCCCCTTCTCCTCATGTTCCGATTTGTGTTCCAAAGGTCTTTGTGAATTAGCACAGATTTCACAACAGTTACACAAGGTGGACCAGGAGCATGTTGAAACCTTAAATCAGTCAGGTGGATCTTCAGTTTGCCTGAATGTAGGTCTAGATGTTACACTCTTGAAGTATGATATGAATTTTAAAAAATTAGTTATAGGTGGACACAATACCTTCATTTTATTTATTTATGTGATGCTGAGGATCAAACTCAGTGCCCCACACATGGGAGGCAAGCACTGTACCCCTGAGCCACAACCCCAGCCCTGATAGGAATTCTTTACATGGGAATTCAATGGATATTGAACACAAAATCGCAAATTCTTATTAAAAGTGAGATTTTATTGATTTTTCAAAAGCACAAATCAGCTTGTTTGAAGATTATGATGTTAATTTTGTTATTTGTTATTGGTGATTTGAATTTTGCAGAACTATCATGAAGAAGGGTGGTTACAAACGAATTTCTATGCAGACTGTTCTGACCATGAGCGATATACTTTCAGTTCTGATTTATTTTAAAATTCCCCTGGAGTAAAAAGTTTGAAAGAGGAATAAAAAAAAATGTGGATTCAGCTATAGATTTAACTGAAAAAAAGCTCATCCACGTTGTATGATGAAGGTAAAATGTCTTTATATTTTCTGCAATGATCATGGATCATCCTACATGACTACACAACAGTGTTTAAACTCATGGGTTATTTTCAAACTTGCAAATTGCCTTGAGAATTTGATTAATAATGCCAATTTTGATTGCTTAAGCAATTTGATATTTTCCAAACTAAAGTAACCAAAAAATTCCTACAGCGTCCCAAAACGACAGTGACCTAAACATGATCGCTTACTTTGTCAGGAGAACAGAGATTATGTGAAAAGAGTTATATTATAGAACCTTAATTAGTAAATATTCCAAAAGTCAAGAAAATGTTGTATAGAAATATGACATGACATGTAATTATTCATTACTCATCTAATACCCTCTAGGTAATTTGTGGACATGTAGACTGTGCACCTTTAGGTTACTTTGCAATTTTAAGTATGCTTTTTCTTGGGTAGAGGATAGGTCATTTTTCATTTCTTAGTATGTGGTTTGGCTCAAACTTTTTAGAATATTGAGAGGGAGGCCTGGGTTTCGACTCCCGCGGTGGACACTCCGTTGTCTGGGAGGACCTGTTGGAGGCACACATGGTCTTCCCAGCTGGCATGGGTCAGACTCTTACTCTGCTTCCAAGGGAATCCTCAGGAGGGCATTTGAAGAACTCAGTGTTTCTTGAACTGTTCAATGACAGCTTTCGTCCTGCTGTTGGAAGAACTGCAGGCCTCCTACAGCTGGGGCAGTGCTTACTGGTTCTGCCAGGTAAGGATGCGGGTGTCTGAGCAGGTGAGAAACTGGGCTGGCGTTCCCCTGGACAATATCATCCATGCATAAGTGATGCCCAAATCCTGAGCAGCCCCTTTCTGTTCCCTTTTTCATAGGAAGAAAAGCCAAACTGTCCAAGGCAAGGAATACTCACTAGTCAGGGCTCAAAACCTGCAGTTGGGGAGTAAGGTGCAGAGACAAATGGATTTCCCTACCTGTCAGAGAGGCAGGCTCTGTGCATAGGAGGGCTGGAGAGCTCAGGGCCTCACAGACAGTGGGGTCTGAGTGTATTAAGAAACACAGCGATGCCTGCAATGGGGTGACGTGCCAGGACCTGCAGGAGCATGTCCACAGTGGGATTCGGAGAGGCCTGGAGTCGGCCTGTTGTCAAAGCCCAGGCGAGAATGACCTGGGGCCATCTGGCACCTCCGGAGGTCAGTTCACCAGATCCTGTGCTGAAGAACCCCTGCTCCTCCCGCTGTCCATCACTGCTCCTGGGAGGACACGGGACCCCGAGGATAGAGAAGGAAGTAGTGAAGCACAAAAACGTCATTCGAAGAATTTTTAGTTGTCCTGCCAATGCATTTGGTCCCTTTTGAATGTTGTCCCGATTCCTTATGTAGCATCTTCCAGAATTCAAAGTCAAAAAATTCAGAGGGTCTCTATTTTCCCTTATGATCCTCGTTTTAAAGCTATGATTTTCCAATCCCTAGGATGTTCCTGGGCCTAGGAATGAGTGCTCTGTGGAAAGCTTGCTTTGCTGTGTTGAAGGCCTATGGAGTCGATGCAGCTCCCAGGCTTGGAAGTCACATAGTGATTTACAAATAACCCACGAGCTGGCAGTGGACGAGGAACAGGGAGAACTGAAATTTATTTTTTTTTAAATATCAAAATGTCCACGCTTATGTGACAAGTATTCATTAATGTTAAATAAAGGGTAACTTACTATAGGATTGGTTGAGCAGCACAAAACCCTGTGCGTGAGTTAACTCACCATCACTTAGATAAAAAGCCGAGACAGTACCCCTGGAGATCTGCCCAGCTGGCGTTTCCTCCGGCTGCCTGGTGCATCTGGGAGCTACTCTGACTTCCTTAGCCTGTCACTCAACTTACATTGACTCCTTGAAAGCTCTAGAATGATTTTGTCATGTCTCTCTGCTTAAGAAAGAGGGTCATGATGTGGCGTTATACGAAAAATTGCCGGACCAGAAATTAATGCATAGAAATATTAGAAACTCAGCAAGCCCTATGGAAGTCCCAGCAACCAGATTCCGACTGCCTTGTGAGTTCCAAGCCCCCCTGCATTTCATTTCACGTGCACCTCGTTTGCTATCGAATCTTTCCTAATTTTTTAAGACAAGGCTCTGACACTACCAGGTCCGAAGTCACCATGAATATTTACTAATGAGTCTATATCCCAAAAAAGTAGATTTAAAAACTTAATCTTGACTGGCTTCTAAATGTACCCAAGCCTCACCCTGGGCAGTTCTAAAGGCACATTTGAAGGCTTATGTGGCTGTGGCATCTGCAGAGAAAGTGCTGATCCCACGTGCACCCCTGAGCTCTGCCCCTCCTCTTTGGAGAATTAGCGTATTATGCAAATTGTTTTACAAATACGGTGCAGATGTCATTAATAAAACATGAGAGTGGAATCTGTGTTGCCAATTAGCATTTTCATTGTATTTCCAGGCCAGTCTCCGCTTACAGCTTACTCTACCCTGTGACATACGTGCGCGGCTGTCGCCAGAAACCTCTCTGCTAGTTACAGAGTGAGGGTGCGAGGGCTGCGAGCTGCTGGGGGCCCATCACAGGACGAGAGGGGCCTGGGCAGGGCTGCAGGCTCAGCGGTGGCCAGGCCCTGGTGCAGAAGCTGCCCGTCAGCCCCACTTGTTTCCCAGGATGAGCTTGTTGAAGGGCATTGCTGAGCAGGTCACACTGAGATGCCATAGTTGGCTCTCATGAGAAGAGTTAGACTATTGCTTGGTTTCTGGGTTCAGAATTGTGACCAGGGTGTGGTTTGCCCTTGGGCAACTGGTTCTTTGGAGTTGATTTTTGAAGGGGGTCAAGAAGTCCACTTTAGAATAAATACTCCTTTCTGAGGAGGTGGACATTAAAAGCCAATAATGTTTCCTTGGAAGTGACTCAGTGTGCATGTACTATTTCTAAGAAAAAAGAAGTTGGTTCAGCTCCGTAGTCTATGATCATCACCAGCCCTGACAGCCCCACGCAGGTGAGGAGCCGCATAAAACCTGGCTAAAAAGTACGTTGGAAGTTGTGTCCCGAGATTGCCTTATAACATTCATTTCTCTATCTGCTGGAAACAGTACTGCTAACAATTAAAAGGTGTGCTGTCGGGGGACCAGAGGAGAGAGGAATTTAAGTCTCTTGGCTCAGATCAACTTAGAGAAATTATGCAGATTATTCACAGGCGAGGGAGCCTGCAGTTACCGCCCTTCCTCAGAGTACGAGGGTCACATGGTGATGGCTGTGGTGCGGGCTGGAGAACAAAGGCCAGTGGTTGGTCCATGGCTGCCTGAGCTGCCCACAGCTGGTGACTGCCAGCTGGCCCCTCCTGTCTGCACTGGGTGCACCTAGGTCACCAATAAAGTGCACAACTCCTTCTGTGTTCCAGAATTCCCAATTTGGTGGTTACTCACAAGTAAACTTCTGTAAGGTCTTCGGGAGCTCAGAGGTGAGGACACGTGCTTGGAAGCCTTACCTGCATGGAGGGCACCGTCCCAGGGAAGAATTGTGCACTCCACACCCAGAAACATGCCAATCTGCACCTCAGAAAACGGACAGAGGCAGGGACCCGGGTGGCATGGGGTGCACCTCTCTGAAACACCAGCCTGGGTTTAGTTTTCAAATATTTAACTTTAACCTGTTTAATATTTAGTAAGGCTAAAGAAATAAAAGATGAATTATTGAAGAGATTAATGTTTTTAAAACCAAAAAAAGTCACAGCCAAGCAGCTTTGTATCAAAACCTCATTTCACAGGCATTAATTTTTTAATAAGGTACTGATTGTCGGATGAGGTACACTGTGTGCTAATCAGCTCCACATTCAGGGGAAGGCTTTGCTATTTTCTTGGGCTAAATACGATCCGAGTTGAATTCCTTCCACTGAGGGTTCCGGAAACTGCTGAAAAGACATTGGAAGGGACAGACTCTTAATTTTCTTCCTGATTTGTAACCCGAGTAAACATCTGAAAACCTGTGCCATTGGAAACCCTCCCCAGAAGGGCGACTGTGCCTTTTCAGACCACACCCCTGTAGACAAAGCAATTACCATCGGGGATTGTGTTTTCTGGGGGCAAAAGGTGGGGGGCAGGGTGGGCAAATTAAAGCGGAATCAATAGGTGGGGCTTTGTTAATCAAGAAGGCAGCTTGGGCGCCAGTACAGATGGCCGGGAGGGGGAGGGGGCATCTGGAGAGGATGGAGAAAAGGGGGTGGGTAATGCCCTCCCCTTTTTTGACCATAGATGTAATTTGCAAATGTCATCTCGTGTTTCTCTTTCGTATCTGCATTTGAGAAAAGGTATGATTGCTGCATCTCTGATCCCAACTCCGGAGCTCCTCGGCACTGCCCCTCAGGAAGAGGTGTTCTCAGTGGAGCCTGGAGGTAACCACTCCAGAACCCTCCCCGGCACCCTGCTTTACAGGGGAACATTCTAGACGGGGTGGGAGGAGTGTTGGAGAAGGTCGGCACGCCTCAGACTGGAGACAGTCACCCAGAGAAGGTTCTGAGGGTCTAAAGTCAGACTGGAAAGGGAGAGGGTCGGTCTGCTCAGCACAGGTGAGATTGCTGAAGTGGAGAAGTGGGGTCAGACCTGCATGTAAACACGTGGAATTCCCTCTTTGTAAAGTGACTGCTCATGGGGATTTACGCCTCCTGTGGGTGTGCGTGGGTCCGTGCATGCTGATACATCCTCCTAAAGGCTGGGCAGCAGCACACGGGGGCAGGGGGACAGGAGGATCCCACGCAGGAAGGGGGTCCTGTGCCCTGGTTCTCACCATGCGAGACCCGCTGTCCCCTCTGGGCCTGGCTGCTCTTAAGGGTCTTTGGAAACCTTATGTGATGTTGCAAAAGGCAGCTCAGTGCGGGAGCCCAACCCTGCCCTGGGAAGGAAAGAAAAGAGGGTTCTAAAATAAAGAGCCCCCACTTCAGAGGCAGGAGGCAGGATCCACGGCTCTGGTGTTTATTCTTTTGAGGGAATGGAAGGAGGTCCCGGGGGAAGGGCAGTTGTAGTTGTCGGCACAAACACACACCCTGGAACTCAGCCTTTCAGAGGAGAAAATGCCAGAGACGGAAAACCAGGCTTTTTAAGAACATCAATACCTTCTATTTATAGAGCTTGAAAATGGTCTGAAGCCAAAAGCAGTGAGAGCCCAGTGCTTAAGACTGCCACAGGCAGAAGCGCTTGCAGAGGTCTTCAGAACTTCAGGTCAAAGGTCCAGAAATAGACAACTGAGTCCACTCTCTCAAGTGTGCTTTGTGCCCACGGAGGAAGGTTCTTCAAAGTGACCCTGGAGAGCAGCTTTTCTAGCAACTCTGATAAGCGTAACTGAACCATCCAGCATGTTTGCTTGGACAGATTTCTAGAGAATTCTCCGCGTCTTTTATTTTCCCGAGGAACTCCAGTGTCCTAGAGGAAAGCTCTCAGCACGGGGTGGGAGGGGAGGTCTCGGGCTGCGCGTGTTTGCGCCTGGCTGGTCTCAGGGTGGCGGAAAGGCTTTCAGCCCGCCCTGTTTCTCGGGAAGATCACCAGACCTTTCCATCAAACAGGACCTTTTCCTCTGGCCCATTTCTGTGTTCTCTTTTGGGAGAGGGTTTGGAAGGTGAGGAGGTTTATCTAACGAAGTCCTGTTACAACACACACACACACACACACACACACACACACTTCCTTTGACAAAGCAGTTCTTCCTCAAGGGGATCTTCGGGAACCTCGAGGAGGGTGGTGGGCTCTGTCTGAGTTGGCCAGCCACCATGGTGGACTCACTTGGGGCAGGTACAAAATCCAGCAGCGACGCTCGACGGGCACAGCCTGGGTCTGAAGGCTCCTGGGTGCTCTCACGGAGACCCATCTAAAGCCCCGCCACTCCACAGATGGCCCCTCAGCCATCTGCCCAGGGGGTGCCAGGTCATCCGATGGTCCCTTTTCCTCTTGGCTGTTGCCCTCTCCACGTGACCTTCCCTGCAGGCCTCGGGGGTGTCTCTGTCCCCCAGAGTCACCTCCAAGCCTGGCTCACGTTTCCCTTGGTGGGAAGCTGGGTGGACCAGCCTCCGCACCCTCTGCCTCTGATTCCTGGCCCCGGCTTGGGCTGAAGCTGCTTGGGAAGGCCTTTCGTGAACTCAGAGTCCGCGGTGCGCTTTCCTCCCTCTTCCCTGCCGGCCTCTGTCCAGTTCTGCAGCCAGCTTGGTAACGAACTTTTCAGGGACTGAATCCAACAGACTTCCCACCAGAGAAGTCCTGTCCTGGGGGCAGGCAAGGGAGCAGAGCATTGGCTGTTGCATGTGCTGGGCCCCTCTCCGGTGTCCACGGCTTCCCACGCCTGCTTTCCCGTCTCTCCTTGGACCTGCTGCTCCCTATTATTTCACTTCCTCTTTTTCTACCTGAACCGTGGGTAGCCGTGCTCCCCGGCTTGCCTCCCCTGCTCTGGGAGTCTTTGCTGAGCGTGCCCAGGCCCTGCCTCGCAGACCAAGGGGGAAGGAAAGAGAAGGCTGAGGTAAAGAGAAGGGGGACCTTGGGCAGAGACCAGGCTGGACGGGAAGAGCCCTGTCTTTGGAACCTGTAGGTGGCCCCGTGTGACGGGAGAACAGTCAAAGGTGAAAAGAGAAGAGGTACAGGCAGGGGACAGGGGACAGGGTGATGCACGTTCCTCATGATTTTGAAGTTGGTGCTGCGATCTGAGTCACTGCAATATTTTCACCCAAGAAACCATCTCACGTGTGCTATCGAAGGTGGAGAGCAACAGCTGACCAGCCAGAGACGCGAGAAGGCCGGCAAACCAGGTAGGGGCCGAGAGGGTCTGTGGGGGCCGAGAGGGTCTGTGGGGGCCGAGAGGGTCTGGAAGCTGTTGCAGTCCAGGGGGGATGGTGGCGTCTGAGCACCGTGGCCATCAACTCCTGACTCATTACTAGGTTAGCAATGCCCACAAATTGGGCTTCTTTACTGGCTTCTCTGTAGGAAAATCTCAGGGTGTTTGGTTTTCCTGTATTTGATCCTGTGTAGGATGGATATATAGACATGGATACATAATTATTTTCATATGTGTGTGTATGTATATAAATTTCCTCTTGAGTTTCTAGCTCTATGAGGAAGTAAATATAAATAAAGGAATCTGTTAAAAAATGAAATTGCAACCTGCTCAGTGGGAGCCTGGGCACATGATCTTTCTATAAAGTTTCTCACACATATATAAATAACTAAAGGCAAGCACGTGTTCGGATCTGAATGGGTCCCTTCCAAGTTTCAGGCATGGACCATGCGACAGGATTAAGAGGTGGGGTGTCTGAGAGCTGGCGAGGGCCGCTGCTGCCTGGGTCTCAGACTTCAGCCTCCGGTTCTATGAGAGACACGTTTGCGTTCTTGTAAATTACCCGACCTGTGGTATTTTGTTACAGCAGCACAAACAGACTGAGAGACCATGTGACACCCAATTTGATTGCTGTGCGTGTAGATTTATCTTCCAACAGAAAAGGTCAGATGCGTTTGTGGTGCAGAGCGGCACATGTCCCACTGGAGAACTGGAAAGAGGCACACGTTCCCGAGCCTGAGGACCCGCCACCCCCAGAAGAAGTGCTCTGGGCACAGGTGCTCTCCCATTCTTTCAGGTTGAGTGCTTCACCTTGGAAATTTCCCAAGTGGCACCCAGGCTGAGAGCAGAATGAGGAAGGGGCAGGAGGAGGGCAGGTCCACAGAAACTGAGAATGGGCACGGCTCATCTCCTATGGGGAGGGAGCAGGGGGAGGGGGCTTGGTCTCATCCCTCCAGCACTGCCTGAGCCCTCAGGGGACGTCAGTGCTCCACCAGGGCCCCAGACATGGCAAAGGGAGCCTCACCTGTACCATGACCTTCACCTCTGGGAGGACAAATCTGCACATTCCAATTGCAGCCCAATATGCTAAGTGTTCTGAAAGAGGATCAAGAGGAAAGGTCTACGGAAGATGTTTGTACCTTAACCCGTGGGTCTCCTTTTATAGGCATCATTTGTGCTGGGAGGGAAAACACAGAAGTAACCCAAAACGTAAATGACCTTAACAGTATCATCTATTGCAGGATGCAAGAAACATTTAAAGTGGAGGTGCCTCCTGTGGTGGTGCAGTCCAGGGCAGAGCAGCCTGGGTGGCCATCAGTGGTCCCCTCATCCACGTCCCCTATTTCTGACTTTGGGACAGGTGTTGGGCTGTGAAAGCGCATCAGTCACAGTCCTACCCTCTGAGAATCCCAGCCTCGTGAGAGAAGGACTCACAAGACCCATGTGGCATGTGTCACCCAAGCCAGGGGACAAAGTAGCCTGTGACACTGGAGCAATGCAGGGTGCTCGGGTCCACCAGGAGGAGACGGCTGCCTCTGCTGAACTCACAGAGAGGAGCCTCTCAGCTCGACCTCGGAGTGTGTTGGTCCAGCCTGCCGCCCTCCTTCAGGGGAATGCAGGGGGACCCAGGGCAGAGCTTCCCCTGGAGAGGAACTCAGAGGACGGGAATTTTAGGTTTAGACGCCGCTTTAGCACGTCAGTAGAGAACGTGCTGTTTCCTTTTCCTTTCCGTGTAGAAATCACACGCCACGAGATCTAGTTTCTCACCGAGTTTCTGGGCCTGTGGTGCAGCGTCTCTACCTTCAGGCACCATGTTGGATGGCGGATCTTCCTGTCCTACTGAATTCCGGACCCGCTGAGCAGCCGCACCTGCTCTGCTGCCCAGGACCCCTCCTACAGGGTCATGCCGCTCTCTGACATTGGCAATTTCCACGCAGATCTTCACGTTGACAGGATTTGCTGCACCTAAGATCCCATCCATGTGGGGTGGCTTTGGTGTTAGGGTGCTCCTCACCCTTCTTTCCTGGCATGACCCCTGCAGGGGAGAGAAGTTCATTTTGCTCATGGTTTCGGAGGTCTCAGCCCACAGAAGGCCGACTCCATGGATCTGGGTCCAGGATGCAGCAGCTCAAGGTGGGAGGGTGGGGGGAGGCTGCTCTGCTCAGGGCGGCCAGAGGAGGAGGGGGCCTCCTGGAAGATGCCACTTCTGGGGAGCCCCAGTGGCCACCTCCTCATGCCCCACCTGCCCACAAGAGCCAGCCATCGGTCCAGGATGGACTGCCAGGTCCCAGCCCTCACAGTCCAGTCAGTTCACCTCGGAATATCCCTGCATCCGCTCGACTTTCATTCAAACCACCAAGTGAAGCATGTCTTACTAGAGGGTGACTTTAGGGTCACCGTTTGGAGATGAAGAACACTTCTTGTGAACTAAGAATTAAGTCGAAGCGTGGGGCGTTTTGTGTTGGGAAGAGCCCCGTTAATTGGTGAAGGGGGAGGAACGGCAGTGAGGTGGGGTGGTGACCACAAGGTCCTTCTCTGTGGAGCATCAGCACCTGGAGGGTGAGCAGCCACTCCACTGCTCACAGACGCCAGCTTCCCCAGCTTGCTGAGCTGGACACAGGGCTGTGATCTCCCTGGTGGCACAACATCAGGCCCGGTGTCACCACATCCAGGTGGGCACAGACGCCGTGGAGCCACCCAGGGGTGGGGGCCGTCCCTGCAGGAAGACCTCTGCCAGTGATGTCTGCTGTAGACCAAAATCAGGTGGCGTCACAGATGGCATGGCGAGATGAATAGCAGGCGGGGTGGGCAAGAGTCACAGAGGATGCCTGTGAGTTCTGGTGTCGTTTCGACGTAGGACTTTGACCTCAGTGGGGCTCCGTAGCACCTGGACACTGGGTTGGCGTCTGGGTCCACCGCCCACCTGGCTGCTTGCTCAGCTCCTCTGAGACCATCCTGCCCTCGGGCACCCAGCCACATCCCCTCTTTCTGCTCCAGGAAGCCCCCCCACCCCCCACCCCACCCTCCGCCAAGCCGCTTTCCTCTTCCTTTGTCACCAACTCCCCCCTCCTGCCTCAGCGCACCACTGCAGAGACATGCTGCCCCCCAGCTTGCCAAGCTCCCCACCGGGAGCACACAGGCGGCGGCCATGCCCGGGGTCCCTGCCAGTTCCAGCCCAGCAGCAGGGCCACCACCAGCAGAGCCTTCCCCGCTGCCCTGCTGCGGCCGACGTGCGTCTTGGAGCATTTACTGTCCCTCTCACAAGACTGCACCACGGTAAAGGGAATCCAGAGCCACACAGAACAAGGACGCCTGGTCACGGCCTGGTGGCAGTTCTGAAAGCCGGAGAGTTTATATTCCTGAAGCTAAGACTGAAGACAGTGTTTTCCTTCCTGTTAGGAAAGACGGGACAGATCTTTGCTCAGCTTCCTAGTACCCGTGCCTGGGAAGCTAGTCCACGTCACATGAACTGCCACCACAATTGCATATTTGCAAATATTTACATACCGACTTCTTAATTAAAAAAAATTCCTCCCAGATTATCAATAGCCACATTCTGAATTTCATGTTTGAATTCCCCAATTGGAGGTAAAAAAGCAGAGGAAAATTGTCTTCAGCTCAAGAACTCTAGAGAGAGGTAGAATACTTCCTCAACACTTTTCTCCTGCAATCATTCAGCAAATAACACTACTACACTCACATAGTGACTCAGTCCTGGTCACTGGGGGAATTGCCACCAGCCATCACTGAAAAACCACTGAGGGAAAGTTAGAGGAAGGGCTCCGGCTCCTGGGCCCTGGAAGAGGACCTCACAGACAGGGGAGCAGAGCCACAGGGCGTGGGCCAACCTGCCACTCAGGAATGGGGAGACAGACAGGTGCGCTGGTAGCAGAAGCTCAGTGGTCTTTAAAAGGCAACGGGAAACACAGGAGGAGGAGAAGATCCAGAGGCACAGAAAGCACGAGGGGGACATCGATGACCTCAGGAAGACCACTGGGCGGGTGGGTGCCCTTCTTGGGGGCAGGGGAGGGTGGGCCTGACCGAGGGACTCCTGCCCTGGGGCAAGGCACCAGAACCTTCCAGCAAGGGCCAGCCTGCTCCCCTGTGGGGCTTCCCTCACGTGGCGGCCCCTGTTCTGGGGCACTTGCCTTGTCACTGAGCCTGGGGTCTCCCTGAGCTCCTGCTCCTCCAGGCTGCTTTGCCGGGAGCAGGGCAGCCCCTCTCCTGGCCAGGCTGGCTGCCCCTCTTGCTCATTATGGACTTTCCCAGCTGCCCGGACCTCATCTGTCGTGCCTCTCGTGTAGACCAGCACGCTCACCCAGGTGACTAAGCACAGCACCCATCAGGACGCCTCAGCTCAACAAGCCAACGGCACAACGCCTCTGAGGCCCCCGTCCACCATCAGTCCACGCCCCTTGGGGGTTGGTTAAGAGCCCTACAGTTCAGCCTGGCATCTCCTTGGGGCTTAAGTCATTACTTCTTTCCCCTTTCTCTTCTGCACATAGAGAGAGGAAGAGAAGGTCCACCTGCTGAACTGGCTGACTACCTTGGGCCACCTTCTAGGTGTGCCTTCGCTCGGCTTCTTTGCTATGGATGTGCTTGCTCTTCTCCTCGATTCTGTCAGAATTGTGCCGCCCTCTCAGCTGTGATGCAGGCAGCCACCTTCTTTATGGAGCCTCCTGAGCCCCGGCCACTTGAACCAGGAGGGCTGCTCCCGGCCTGGGTGGCCGTGAAGCTGCTCACCACATGTTCCGTCCACTGGCGCTCTCAGGCGCTCCTTGGGAAAGCCCCCACAGGCGAGTCGGGTCAGAGCACGCGCCCTACATAGGCCAGGCTGCCACGAAGCAGAGAGAACGTTTTAAAAGACCAATTAAATAAGAAAATTGCCTGTCCTGTGCTCTCTGTCAGTTCCACACACACAGGTGAAAGGTGACTTTTGCTGGGACATGACCATCCAAGAAACTGAGCGTTATTTTGTTTTGCTGTATTTCATACAAAATCATGCGGGAACATTTGTTTCCTGACCACCCCAGCTTACAATGTAAATTCTTATTTTCGAATGCATATAAAGATGGGGGAAAGGCTTTTGAGTGATTTTTAAAAGACGGTCTTTAAAAACTGCATCAGGAGGTCCAATTTCGGCATGGAGAAAGGCACTAAGAGAAACTGTGGTAACCAGGCTGACACCCCAACTCTCAGGCCATGACTTAAAAGCAGGTTCTGGTTACCACCTTGCTCTTGTCACTTGATGGTAAATGACACCAATTGAAAGCATAATGAAAAGAAAGTGTTTAGTCACTGGCAATGACCTTTACCATTTAAAAGCCAAAGTTCAAAGGTAAATGCACTCTTCATCTCAGGAACTGGAATTCCAGCATCAAAACATGTGGTTTCCACCTCTGGAGCCAGGGTGACCCTATCAATTACAGGTGACATTATGTTTTCAACAAATACAAATTGTTTTGCCTTTAGACTTAAAAGCTCCTAAAGTGAGTGTTCTATTCGCAGTGAGAACAGTTCTGCGCAGCTCAGGTCCTTGAGTCACGGGAAGAGCTGCAGTGGTATGGCACCACCCAGGCACAGCGCCATGGTGGACAAGGAGGACAGCCTCTCGCCAGTTCCAGAAGACACTCAGCCAGCAGGTTGGGAGGGAAGAGCTTGATGCCCGGGGCCAGGGCTTCTTGCTTCATCCCTTTATTGGGGGGTGAGGGGGTAGGAGATGTACTAGGGATTGAACTCAGGGGCATTCAGCTATTGAGCCACATCCCAGCCCTATTTTGTATTTTATTTAGAGACAGGGTCTCACGGAGTTGCTTAGCACCTCACTGTTGCTGAGGCTGGCTTTGAACTTGTGATGCTCCTGGCTCAGCCTCCCAAACCACTGGGATTATAGGCTGGTGCTATCATGCCTGGCCATTTTCCCCTCTTAGTGGACATCACTGTTTGGCAGATACTTTCCCACTCAGCGAGGCAACCTAAGGGTCTGTGAAGACCGAAGGCTCTGGTGAGACTTGGCGCTGGGTGGAAGAGTCTCTTTGGCACTTCAACGGTGGGTTGCTAGGACTGGCCAGGCTTCCTTCTGAGCTACTATGGACTTGGACTGCCCTGCTGAGCATGTGGTTTAATGGGAAGGGGCACCAGGTCGGGAGTAAAAGTTCCCAGACTCAGATCCCAGTTCACTGATATTTTGGACAAACATCCACTAGGCTCCGGCTGCCATCCTGCACTCCCACTGGACTTCATGGCCGCCCGCCATGGATTCACGTTCACTGCTGAGGAACCGGGGGTAGAAAGACACTGCGTGAGAAGTCCAGCTCAGAGGGAATGGAGAAGCTGTGATCTGAACTGGTTCCATTCCCTCCAGGGGTGTCCTTCACCATCAAGGACTGAGCAGCCCCTGGCCAACTGCATGGCTCTGTGCAAGTCACAAACTAGCCATAGATGCCCAGCAGAATGTCCCTTTTCTCATGGGGAAAACTGACCATTTCCAGGCATGAAAATACTGGTCGGAGGAAGGCAGAGGTTCTTGGCAGCATGGCTGACCACTAAGAGGTCATCTATTAGTTTAACGAGTAGGGAAGAGGGGAGTTGGCAAGACAGGCCCAGGGTAGACTTGACTCTGTCCTCAGAGCCTCCCTGCTGTGGCATCCAAGGCGCAGCAGGCACTTGAACACTCTCTCCAGCCCAGGGTCTGATGGGTGAGTCCATATGACAGAGCGGCCACAACAGGAGTCTCAGCTTTCAAATGCATCATGGTGACATATTCAGAGATGTCATCTCACTTAAGGAGAGTAGATGCACTGTGAATCATCTAGGTGGGCAGTGGGCAGCATGCTTTGCTCTGGCTTCCCTGCAGCCAAGTAAAAGATGAACACAGGCAGTCCCGACCTCTCAAGTTTTGATCAGTGATTATTCTGCTTGATGATGGTGTAAAGCACACCAGGTGGCCATTGTTTTCACTCTTACTACAACATTAAAGGAATACATGGGCTATTCAGCACTTCATTATGCAGCGGGCTTTGCCTTGGAGGAATCCACCCAACTTGGTCTAATGCAAGTGTTCTCAGTGTGTTACGGTTAGGCTGGGCTGAGCTACAATGTTTGGTTGGCTGAGTGCATTAAATATATCTTACGATGGTCTCACGACTGTAAGTCAAGGAGCATCTTCACACTATTCACAGTGGGAGAACATTAAACAGATAGTAGTAAATAGCCAGATAAGAGGTGCCCATGCGCTCTGACTTTTATATGTGAGTAGAGTTCTCCTATGGGTCCTCAAAAAAGTAAGTGTGAAATTATGGGGACTTCTACATACTAAGTTTCAGGAGGCTAAGACTTAAAATACCCATCAATGCAGTTTTGTGGAACATTGAAGCAGCGTGGCCCGCTTGATGGTCTGCCTGGGCTCTGGTAGGAATCAGAACTGTGGACTTCCACCGTCCAGGACAATTGCAGCTGTTCCCCTTCACCTGGCAGGGGAGGCGGTGGGGACAGATAAGCACCCCAATAGCCAAACACAGAGCCAGAACCCACAGAGCTCAGAGACCCCAATCTCGCTCCTGGTCTGACCCAGGCTGTGCCACCATGCAGGACCACCCTGGCCACGGCCAGTCTGAAACTGGCATGGAGATTGGCCACGAGCTGACTTCAGGCACAAGAAAAGCTGAGGCTCCACAGAGATGAAGCCCTTACAGCAGAGACTGCTTCCTTCCCAGGAATCAAGGATCTGCAGGCTGCTGGACTCCCTAGCTGACTACCTGGTCAGCCAACTGTTCCTTAAGGCTAGTTTGTCCAGGAATCATGCTAGGCATGTGGGCTCAGGCAGTGCCTGACCTCAGGGAGCTTATGCTGAAGCCAGGAAATCGAGACGATGTGCGATCCTCTAAAGCCCGTAGCCCAGGGAGTCAGGAGAGCAGGGCTGAGGAAGGGACTTTAAGGGCAAAATTCTTCAATGGGGGAAGCAAAAATGAGTGAGAATCAGCCAAGGGCAGACAGATGATGGGCGGCGTGGCAGAGGGCGGCCAGGCAGAGGGCCGGAAGGAGTGGCTGCCTTGGGGAGGTGATGGAACTCCTGGCCTGGAAGGTGTGGGAGGAACAGTGGCTGTTTCAGAGAAATTCAGGAAGGGAAAGAGATAAAGAAGAGCCCAAGAAAGGAAACAGAGCTCAAAATCAAACTGCAACCGAGTGCCACTAAGTCTAAAAATAAGCGGATGGAAAATAATTACCTGGAAAAACACAGCGAGGAAGGCCAGCCCTGAGGAAGGAAGGCAGGAGAGGGACAGACATGAAGGTGGACATGAGACCCAGCCTTGATCAAGGTGCACGGGACAGGAAATAGAGATTTGAAAAATGCAAGTATGGCATGAACGTAGAAGGTCACAGTCCCCCTTTCTGCAGCTGGCGGCCCACGGTGCTCACAGGTTGTAGCAACCAGCTCTGACTCTGGTTGAAAGTTGGTGCCCTGCTTTGGGCTTGGGTGACCTTGCTGTTCTGACTGCTCATCTGCGCCCCTGACAGCGTGGCATGCTTCTGGGCAAGGCCGTCGG